TACACACACACACATGTATATATAATATGTATAAGTATAATACTAGATCTCACAGCAGTGACGTCATACGTGTCTGAAAGGGTGGCTGGCTACGTACACTCAAAGAGGTTATATATACACAGGGTCACATCTCCAAGTACTACAGGTTGAGTCTCGAAAATTACTCACCCCGTCTCTTGATGAATCGTGTTTCTTTGGCGAACGTTAAAGAGCGGTTATGAAAGGAGAGCTACGCAGATTTGTTTCGTTTCTCAGTAGAATAACCACAAAGGCCAGAAAAGGACTAACTTTTTGTCGAATATATTTGTCTAATTTCAAGATATGAATGAATAAAAAATCGAGGTCCGTCGTGGGGACCTATCTATTTGCAGGTGCTTGCCAACTTTCAACTCTGTAGCTGTCGTAGTTTTACGGGGAAAGTGACACATGTGTTTCCAAGTTGCCAAATATAGACTAGATACTAGAGCTCGCAGCAGTGAAACTATGTGGGAAACTCTGTGTCAGAGACGAGGGTTGCTTATGTAGACACTCAAAGAGGTTATATAATACTAGAGCGCGCAGCAGTGACGTCACATGTGTCAGAGACGGGGCTGCCTATGAACACTTTAAACGTCCTGACCGGGTGGCTTAGCCTTCAATGAAATGTACCATTATGTGCAGTGATTTACTTGTCATATGGTGTAACTAGCTGGGCCCCCTTCCGATGAAGGAAGTGAGTATTCTCACCCGGGTGGGAATAATTTTTCTTTGTTATTCCCACCCGGGTCGAGTTACTTCTCACCTTTCCTACCTAGATTCTAGATGTTTTATTGATGTAATACAGGCAGAAGGCCGACCTCTAAACCTGAGGTGACAATTGGACACAAACACAGGCAGGTCTAGCCTAAGTAGATCTAGCACACCTGTACAATCTTATGCTGGGTCTGGAAATATTGAGCACATTCAAATGAGAGTGCTAGTTCTGCTAAGTGGAAAAACGTCACTTCTAGCTTTTGAATGCCTACTGTTATATCAAATCAATCTAATTGAAAGCAAAGAAAAAGGCCAAAAATATGAATGAAAGTAAAACTAGATCATGCCCACATGTCGTAAAAACACACCTAAGTAAAAGAAATGGAGTAAAATATTCGTAAATCCCCTCAGGGGGGTGGGGGGTGGGAATAATGGCAGCCTTCGATGAAAGGAATGATAAGTGCATTAACATTAACTGAAAGCCTTTGGCCTACTATATTTACACTCTACTGGAATGGAGCAGTAAATCTTGAGAGAAAAATGAAACATGTGTTTTTAAGTTGCCCAATATTTTATTATGTATAGATTGATTCCCTATTCTGCTTTTGTGGTTGTGAGGTCCAGAATTTCAAAGTCACGCGCACATTTACAACGTTTATGTTCATGACTTTACGGAAAAACAAAATCTAATCTACATAAAAAGAACATG